TCATGAGATACTTGCAAGGAACAAAGAAAATAGGCATCAAATATGTAAAAGAAAATGAGAGCAAGTTGATTGGATATAGCGACAGTGATTGGGGAGGTTTGTTGGATGATAGAAAAAGCATTTCAGGTTATTTATTTTGTCTCGGAACTAATGTTGTTTCATGGAGTTCAAAGAAGCAAAAAACAGTAGCGTTATCATCCGCGGAAGTTGAGTATATTGCTGTTACAGATGCAACTTGCGAAGCTATTTGATTGAGACGGTTACTACCAGATTTGAAACAAGTTCAAAAACAGCCCACAGTAATTTATTGTGACAATATGTCAACGATAGCCATGACAAAAAAATTCGGAGTTTCATTCGAGAACAAAACACATTGAGTTGCGACATCATTTCATCCGAGATATGGTGAGTAATGGTGAAATCAGCTTGGAATTCATTGGAACGAATGAGCAACCCGCAGACTTTCTAACCAAGGCGATCTATGTCGAGAAATTTCAAAAGGCAAGAGACATTCTCACAATTGCAAATTAAGAGGGGTTGTTGGAAATGTAATTTGCAATTATTATCTAGATTCATGAATTATAATTATACATGCATTTGTCCATTAATGTACTAGAGGAGGAGAAATGTATCTATTCAATGTTGGTTCATGAGTTAGGCTAGATACATGTTAAATCTTATCTATAAATACCCATGTAACTCAAGCCATTAAAAGTATCGAAGTCACAAAAATTTACCATATAATATCTTCTCTTCTACAATCATAAAAAAGTGCAGCAGCACTATATTACGTATAATTTCGAGCATTCGATATTCCTTCTTTTTCATTCGATTTTTAATCAATCCCCAACAGAAAACACATTTATAATGACTTCAATATCAAAATAGGAGCAATGGCAAATGTATAGACATACATACTTTTAAAGTTAAGACAATAATGTCACCTTTGATGAAAATGAGTGCAATATAAATTCAACAAAAATATAATAAAATAAAATTGAGAGTGGATTTACTTCTAAAGATATATTATACTAGCAGGAAAATAAAGAAAGTATATTACCACTCAACTCTGTCAATACATCTAAAGAATCCCAACAGCAACAAAAATTTTGACATTTAGGGCCGTTTGATTCCCATTCTTTGCCACAAAAATGAAAAATATGACCGTTAACATTCACATTAAGCCACCATATTTGACTTTGTATCTCTTGTGTGTATCCTATAATGATTATATTTTTTATTCTCATTCTTAGGAAAATGGGAATCAAACGGACTCTTAGTAACAATCCGAACATGTGTTCAAGCCATTAACTCCTATGCGTTGTCCGTTTTGGGAAATCATGTGCCCATCTTACCCTTCAAGCATTTTGATTTACGTGTTATACGATCTTATGGAACAGTGTGTGGTTAAAAATGAAAGAGATAAAAATGAAATGTAATGTAATAGAATTTAATGGGGGCCAAACGAGGGCTTAATCTCCTGTAAGGAGATGTCATGAGTTCCAATCCTAAAAGATGCGATAGAAATCCCTGAGAGTAAAATGGACACGTGCTCTCCCAAAATGGAATTACATATGGTATGAACCAAGCCCGGATCATTACAAAAAAACTTGATCAATTGATAGCAGGATTTAACTCAAGGTTATTATGGAATTTAAGGTTTCGAATTTGGAACAGGATTGAAATCCATAAGGATGATAATATGGGCACAGATTGAAAGTACATATGTACTAAAGGCTTAGTCACATACCAAGTCATTACAATTTAACAAAGATGATTTGACGGTTAAAACAACATAAATAAATGAAAGAGAATAAGAAACAATAATGCTCTTTGTACAAAGATAGGTTACAAAATTGGATGACAAAGTGACGTGGACGGCTAAAATGTGAGGGAAATGGATGGTTCTGAGTGATTTTTGGAATGCTGGTTTAGGCACCAAAATGGAAAGGAAAACATACCACGTGATTGATACGTACATAAGTATTAAAAAAAGCCAACAAATGCTTTTTCTCTCTCCTCAGTTCTCTCAACTCCAGCAACCCTCAATCAGCTCGTCTTCAACCCAATCCCATTTGGTCCCAAAAGATAATCACAAAAAACGGTAACGAGTTCAGGGGAAAAAAAGATAATCACCAAAAATGGAAATTATTTGTTAGTCGATGGTCAAATCATATAGAACGGTGTTACTGAAGTTTTTTTTCCCCAAGAAACCAGTGAAGTGTTTTGGAATTTTTAGAACCATTATATTTTTCCTAGCAGGCATAACAAACTTGCATGTTTCTTCCAAGTTCTCCACACCAGCCGTAGGCGCCCAATGCTCTGGAATTAGGCGGCTTGTTCCGACGGTATGAATTTATGGTTAAAATGTTGTTGGTATTGTCTGTTCTTATCCCCCATGTTTATTTCGTATATTATAAAATTTTATTTCCATAAGGTTACTTAGTTTATGAAATGAAATTAAAATTGAAATAAAGTAAGCACTGTCTTAATTATTAATTAATGGAGCATGTCAAATTTAAATTATAGACATTGATAAAAGACATAGACATAGTTTCAATAAATTAGTAAATTTGTAGACATAGTTTCTCGAATCTAAGTTGGTTTCGGATTTGAAAGCCTTCGTCAGATATGGTTAGCTCAGTGGCTAAGGTCACGATGGTGAAAGATGCTGGTGGTGAGATGATGTTTGGGGGTGCTTGAAGGTGATGTGGTGTAATTAAACCAAAGAAACAACAAACTGGATTTTTGTGGAAAACGTACTGGGTGATGAAATATATGGCAAATTTGAACTACACATGTGCACAAAACTGAGCTACATTTGGACTGAAGGTTGGACATTTAAAAAATCAATAATGCTGATGTTTGTGTTTTGTAGGAATACCGAATATGGAAGATGTTTTGTTCATGGATTCAAAGATTGAGAATGTGGAGGACAATGTCAATGTCGTGGAAGACGAAACGGTAGGAGATGGTTTGACTGTGCCAGAGGTTGGTATGCAATTTAATGATGAAAAAGAAGTATATGATTTTTATGCGAGATATGCCTATGCCGTGGGAAAAGGAGTTCTGCGAGAGATGATGACGGTGTTTTGACTGTGCCAGTTGGGAAGAGGAGTTCTGTGAGAGATGATGACGGTGTTTTAAGATATATCACATTGACGTGTAGTAGGGAAGGACGAAGAACTGGTAATATAAGCACTTCTTTGAAGCCGCAACCAACAGTTCAAACGGGTTGCAAAGCTAGGATCTCAGCATCTTTAGATATCCATGGTTATTGGAAAATTAACGTTGTCCATCTCGACCACGATCATAAGACGAGTCCTACTAAGTCCAGATTATATAGATGCAATCGAGAAATGACGGCACATGTGAAACAAAAGCTCGAAGTGAATGACATAGCAGTAATACCACTGCATAAAAGTTTTAACTCCGCAGTTGTTGAGGCTGGTGGCTACGATAATATGACTTGTATTGAAAAAGATTGTCGGAACTATATCGAAAAGGTGAGACGACTAAGACTTGGTGAGGGTGACGCAGCTGCAATACAGACTTACTTTTCTGAAATGCAATCCCGATGCTCCAGATTTTACTTTAGCATTGACTTGGATGATGATTCACGCCTGAAGAATGTCTTCTAGGCTGATAATCGGTGCAGGCAGGCATATAAGGAGTTCAGGGACGTTGTGACATTTGATACAACCTACCTCACTAATAAATACGATATGTCCTTCGCCCCTTTTGTTGGCGTGAATCATCAGGGCAATCAACGTTGCTAGGTTGTGGGTTGGTATCGAATGAGGACACAGATACATTTGTGTGGTTGTTTACGACATGGCTTAAGTGCATGAATGGTCAAGCTCTGCATGGAATAATCACTGATCAAGATAGGACATTGCAAAATGAAATTCAGATAATTTTCCCTAATACGAAACATAGATGGTGTTTGTGGCACATATTGAAAAAGTTGCCAGAAAAGTTTGGATATCATGTGGACAAGTCTTCGATATTTTCGGCCATACACGTATTGGTCTACGATTCACAATCTGTTGAAGAATTTGACGAAGGTTGGAAATCGATGCTTGATACATATGACTTAAGTGAAAATGCTTGGTTGTCCGGATTGTATGAAAATAGAGGACGTTGGGTGCCATGTTTCTTAAAAACAATTTTTTGGCTGGTATGCCAACAACGCAAAGAAGTGAAAGTATAAATGCCTTCTTCGACGGTTATGTGCACGCAAGAACATCGTTGAAACAGTTCGTCGAACAGTACAAACGAGCACTGTGGAGTAAGGTTGAGAAGGAATTTCAGGCCGATTTCAAGTTTTTCTCTCAAATGCTCCCGTGTGCAACAACTTATGAAATGGAAAAGCAATATCAGGCATTGTACACACTTTCGAAGTTCAGGGAAGTTCAAGTCGAATTCACAGGGAAGGTTTACTGTGACCTCATGTCTGTTTTAGAAGGACATATGGGGACGATGCACGAGGTACAAAAGGACGTAGTCTACGGGGAGATACGGAAGAAAAAACATTTTCAAGTGTCCTTCAATAGGGAGAACTGTGAGATCATATGCACTTGTCACTTGCTCGAATTTCAGGGTATAATGTGTAGGCATGCAATCGTGATATTGATACGTAATGAAGTGAGTGTGATGCCAGATCGCTATATACTACGTAGGTGGAGGCGAGACATCAGTAGAGCACACACAAGGGTTGCTGTTAATTACGACAGTTTGGTTAGTACTCCTACACAGTTGAGATATGATGAGATGTGTAAGACATTTGCCTCGACAGTGGACCTTGCAGCAAATGACGAAGGGAGGTATCGTGCGATCATGAATTGGATACAACTTCAAAACAAGGAGTTTAGTTTGACCCCCCCTCGAGTTCTTGCAGTAATATCAATTTACATTACACTGCATCGTGAAATGAAGGCAGTGCCATTGTGAAAGATTCGATACCGTTGAAGAAAAAAGGAGCCCCGAGGACAAAACAGAGAAAAGGGAAATTGGAAGCGAACGCTACCATATCAAAGGTATACTCGTATGTTATACTCTTTTATTCACTTCATTTTATACAATACGCGAAATTCATTATGGTATACTTGCAGGTGCGATCAAGTAACGCAAAAGAAAAGAGACCAACCCCGAGGAATAGTTGTATCCCGGATGGTGTGGCCGAGGTTTCGCAACCACCTGAGCAGCAATGCTCAATGCCAATGCTGATGCCAATGTTGTTCTCGTTTTCACAACTACTGCTGGTTCGTATATTAATTGCTAAGTTTTGTAAGAATTTCTGATGTTATTAATGCGAAGAACGTGATGTAGGGTGATGGGATGAGCCATATGTTCACTAAACAAGTGTCGTGTACTACGTTGATCCCCACAACCACCACAAACGTTAATTCGAATTCCCAAGGTACACATATATTTCAATCTCAACAATTACAATTTGTATTTGTTTTTCTCGGTGATAAATATGCAAATCCTCCATCTCTTTTTTGTGTTTTTAGGTAGTAAATCTACATACCAATAAAGTTGTGAGGATCCTACTCTTCTGTGATGTGCTTTCAAGAAACACCGAATTTATTTGTTCAAGTATTAAATTCTCGAGATGCATCTAGAAACAAGTATTGCTTATGTTCACGTTTCAATCATGAACTATATTTATTATTAGATTTTTTTTGTTATCGTCGAGTTAATGAAAACCTTGTGTACATCTATGCTTTTTTATAAACATATGCTAGGAATAAAACTTTATTAGAAAAGCTCAACACAATTAAAACAACAAATTGAGCCTTAATTACCCCAGCATTATTGGTGCTTGTAAAATCTAAAAATTATTATTATTACTTATTTATTTATTTTGTAATTGATCCCATCTTTCAGCATTTAGTCAAAAAGAAAGTTTTATGTTTTTAGTTGTTTGGGTGTGCTACGTATAGGTTGATGATTTCAATCGTGAAATTGGTTTTCTTTTTTCATTTTGTAATAATTGGAGAAAAATGCTTATTTTGAACTTCTTTTAAGTCGGAGAGAACCTGAGGAACCAGAAGATGCAACAAAAGGCAGAGATGTGTTAAATGAAAAGCCACCTGCTGATGAACTCTTGTCTGTATCAGATATAGCAAAAACTGTGACAACATCTCTTCCTGATAATATCATAAGTGGTTTTCCTTCTTGTTTCCCCCTTTTATTGGTTATTCTGTAGCACGAGAAAGGACTGGGAATTTTTATGTATTTGGAAAAAGTGCACATTTTAGAGATTTATGTTCTCTGTTTTGTTGTCTTATATAGGTAGTACAAACATGATGTTGTTGGTTTAAATGTTAAGATTCTATTATGGATACTATTGTGAGAAACCTGTGCTAAATGGATAGAATTATTTTTTGGTAAATATGTATTCTAATGGCTGTAAGTCACGAAATTGTTAGTTCATTGGGATATACTATACATTATCTTTAATCAAACTCACAAAATTGTTTATTTTTCCAGAAATTGTTTCTCGATAATCATCTTTACACTTTGCTAAAATTTTATCTAGCTGTGTAGGCTGTGCAGTGATGATGCTTTTATGAGTTTGATTTTCCAGGAAGAGCCTACTAAAGAATGGCAAGCACTGTGGATGCAGTAGGAGATCCAGTTCCCAATTCATGTCCGAGGATGCAGTAGAAGATACCTCATGTCCGAGGATCATCCCATTCCAAAAGCTAATGGAAAACCATGGTATGGGTTGCTCATGTTGTTAAGGAAGTACCCACGACATTTTGTTATCAACACAAGGTCTAAGGGTCGGGTCACTGTTGCGGAGTTTGTCTCTCTTTTGTCACTACTCCGAATGGAAATTTAGAATGCCTTCATCAATGTAACATGTTATTGTAGTGGAAAATCTGGAATCCTGTTTCAAGATCCAATACTACGTATTTTATTCTTGATTGTTCTTTTCTCCTTGTACCTATTTGTAGCATACATGCAATTTTCTTTGTTTCATTGACTTGGACTTTTGAGGAAGATTTAACTGAAAATGTTGTTGGAATTTTCCATTTGTCTATGGTGTGCAACCACATCAAAATCATAAAGTGGTTTAATTCACAGTGAAGATAGAAAAACTAAAGAGGCCAATTAAATATCATTGATGAAACCACAAAAGTTAATGACAAATGTTGGGGTATGAAATGTACCAACATGAAATGTGCATTGCAACAATGAACTACGAGTTCAACCTAAATCCTCCTCCATCTGAATATGTGCTAGCAAGGCACAAGGTACATGAAGTATAAACTAGCAAGGCACAAGGTAGATGCAATAGCCACTGCTGGTTCAACAAAAATCCCCCATTTGCACTAAACTAATTACCCAAATATACAACATGCCTCTACTTAACACAAAAGAGCCATTACACTGTAAACCAGTAATTAAGCCATGTCTTTCCCATTCATTTTCCCTTCGACAGGCGATTTTTCTCGATGGACTGTCACGTTCACATTCACAGAGATCAAAAGCTTTTCTTCATTATTTAGTCGGACTTGAGATTGGAACATTCACGACATATCGTCAACTGCTTCGTGGACCGCTTGTTTAGCCAAAGTTGCGCTATCGTTACTGAATTCACCAATTGCTTCTCCATCTTTGCACCATTCCCAAAACCCACACTTTACACTGCAACATTTGAAAAATTTTCCTTTGTTAACAGTGTCCCTTTCAACCTCAAAAAACTTTTGAAATCCATGCATACAACATGGGCAACGACGTTTTATCGGGGAATCACTGAAGAAGTGTCCAACACTTCTGCAGCCGTGGCAAACTCCGGAGTTCTTTCCTGGCATTCTATGTTCCTTCTACCAAATGCCAAACATAAAATATGGAAATGTTAGCATCTCAGATCAAATCTCCAACGAACAAAGGCAAATTCAAATTTTTAACTTCTCTGTCAAACAGAAAACCAAGGAATGGAAATTCACAGCAACAGATTTGATTCCAACACCAAATTTTAGATTTGTAAAACAAAGATGGATAATAGACTAATCCCATAGTCATTCTGTTATGCCTAAAAAAGAAGCTCATGTTTCCCAGCAAGAGGTAAATTCACTAACTTTACAAATGCTAAAGTCAATTTCTTTAACAACAAAATTTATGAATCTCAGATTAACAACAACAAAAAATCAATCTACACAATCAACACATGAGTCTATTCGCTCAACACATAAATTTGTTTGAAAAAATCAGGGATTTGAATCGCAAGATTTAACTTCCAAAATAGATGCAATCACAGAAATGTCATTGGTAGAAAAAAAATTTATAAAAACCTCAGACCGAACAAGTTCCCAGTAGTGGAAATGGGTTGAAAGGGAAGGGTTGGTTCCAGACCTCAGACCAAACAAAAATCTCAGATTTTCGACCAATTTTATTGTGGTATCCGACGGTCTTTGCCACGACATCCCCTTCAACAACTATGGAGATTGTGTTAACATCATAGTGCCGGAGTTCAGCTGCTACCGAAGATGGAGATGACGCCAAAGGTTAGTGCTTCGAGAGATAATGGTTCGAACGGAAGGAAAATGGGTTGAAGGCAAGGGTTGGTTCCGGATTCGATTTGGGGGAAATACGGGAGAGAGAGGATTATGAAATAGGGAGAGAGAAAATGTCCTTTAATTTTTTGTTTTCAGACTTTGTTTTCTCAATTTTTTTTAATTTTAACGCTGCCACGTCACTTTGTGAACCGTATTTGTCAACCGACTTGGTATACATAGCGAGATTGAATAAGAAAACCTTACCCGGTGTGTTAATTTTCATATGGAATAAAGCAATTTTTATTAATAGAGAAAACGTTACATTGGTGAATATATATGAAAAATATTAATTTAGGACAATACGGTTTATAAGGAAATTAGAATCCCTGTAATTATTCTTAATACTCCCCCTCAAGTTGGAGCATGAAGGTCTGTAATGCCCAACTTGCGAGTGAAGTGGTGAAAAAGATCCTTCCCAAGAGCCTTAGTAAAGATATTAGCCAGTTGAAGCATGGAAGGGACGTGTGTAGGTAGAATGAGCTCAGAGAGATACTTCCCATGCACAAAATGGCAATCGATTTCAATGTGTTTGGTACACTCGTGAAAAACAGGATTGCGGGTGATGTGTAGAGCAGCTTCGTTATCACAATAGAGCAATATATGTTGCGGATGAAGAACAACAAGATCACGCAAGAGAGATTTGAGCCAAACAAGTTCACGTGTAGCCATTGCCATAGCATGATATTCAACTTTGGCAGAGGAGCGTTCTTTGTACGCCAAGAAATGGGACTAGTGCCAAGAGTGACAAAAAAAACCAGTCGTGGAACGGCGAGTGGCAAGGAAACTGGCCCAATCAGAGTCAGAGTATGAAGAGAGCTTGAGATCACATTAAGCAAAATAAAATAGTCCATGACCTGGAGAACCTTTTAAACGTAAAACATGGAATGCAGTTCGATGATGTGAATCCAAGGGCTTTGCATAAATTGGCTCAACATATGAACAGAAAAGGAGATGTCTGGGTGGGTAATAGTGAGATACAAAAGTCGACCTACCAACCGTCGGTAAGAACTGGGATCAGAAATTAGAGTCCCATCGTCAAGATTTAGCTTCAAATTCTGATCCATGGGAAAAGAGGCAGGCCGTGAACCCAAAATACCAAGATCTGTAAATATATCGAGGGTGTACTTTCGCTGATTAAGAAAAATACCAAGCGGTGAACGGGCAATTTCAAGGCCAAAAAAGTATTTTATGGTGCCCAAATCCTTGATTTTGAACCTATCATCAAGCGATTGTTTGAGAGTAGTGATAGCAGAGAGATCATTTCCTGCACCCAATATGTCATCAACATAAACTAGAACAACAGTGAAAGAAGAACCAATAGTCCGAGTAAAAAGTGAATGATCAGTTGTAGATTGAGTAAAACCATCTGACAATAAGACAGAGGACAGCTTTGAGTACCAATTACGTGAGGCTTGCTTAAGACCATAAAGAGATTTAAGGAGTCGATAAACGCGAGTCTCTCCCTTTCGACCATATCCCGGAGGAAGTGTCATGTACACCTCCTCCTCTAAATCACCATGAAGAAATGTATTTTTGACATCAAGTTGATGAAGATGCCAATTACGGGCAGCCGCGATAGCCAAAACACAATGGACAGTAACAAGTTTAGCAACTGGGGCAAAGGTGTCATGATAATCAAGCCCCTCAACCTGAGTATAACCCTTGGCCACCAACCGAGCCTTATACCTCTCAATGGAACCATCAGCATGGAGTTTAGTTTTGAAAACTCATTTACAACCGATAGCTTTCTTTTTAGGAGGAAGAGTTGTAAGAACCCAAATGCCATTAGATTCAAGTGCTCGAATCTCAGCTTGCATGGCATCATGCCAATGTGAATGTTTAACGGCTTGAGAGTATTGAGTAGGGTCAGAGGGCTGTGATAAAGCAGATAAGAAAGTAAAATGATCTGCAAAATATTTATTATATGAAACAAAATTGGAAATGAGATGAGTGGTACCTGAAGATGCGACTGGAGCGGTGCAAGTCGTAACAGATGAGGCTGAGGACAAGGTAGGGCAAACGTAGTTAGCAAGGTGAGCAGGACATTATACAATGCGACGAGGGCGAGTGGGAAGAGGGACAGGGAGAGGTTCTAGAGGAGGGTTATCATAGGTGGCTGATCAGGGGTTTCAGGAACAGAAAGGGGTAAGACAAGGGGCGAGCTGGAAGGTGGAGGTAAAAGTTTAAAAGGGAAAATATGTTCGAGAAAAGTGACGTCCCTGGATATGATAATTCGTTTGTGTTCTAAGTCGTAAACACGATAAGCACTGTGAGTGAATGGGTAACCTAAAAACATACAAGGACGAGCATGGGGTTGAAACTTGTCACGGTGAACGGAAGTAGTGTGAGTATAGCAAAGACAACCAAAGACACGCAAATGGTCATAACGAGGTGCCTTTTGGTAAAGGTGTTCAAAAAGAGAAATATTATGTAGTGAGGATGAAGGAGTGCGGTTAATAAGGTAAGTAGCAGTAAGCACACATTCTCCCCAAAATTTAACAGGAAGGTGAGCTTGAAAACATAGACATCATGCCACATTTAAAATATGGCGATGTTTTCGTTCAGCTAGACCATTCTGTTGAGGTGTCTCCACACAAGTGCGTTCGTGAAGAGTGCCTTGTTCAGAGAAAACATCTTGAGTGGTGTGAACAAGAAACTCTTGACCATTATTAGTGCGTATGTGATGTATCTTGAGGGTGAATTGAGTGTTGATCATTACAAAAAATGCACGTAAACAAGATAAGGTTTCAGATTTAAAGCGCATTAAATACACCCATGTGACCCGAGTGTATTCGTCAACTATGGTTAAGAAATAATGTACACTTGAGAGAAAGGCAGTATGATAACCCCCCCCCAAATATCATAAAATATTCGTTCAAAAGACATCAAACTTTTATTCGCAACTAAATGAAAAGGCAATCGAGTGTGTTTACCACGATTACATGCATCACAATGTTCAATAATTTTAGGACGAGAAATAAAACTTGGGATATTTTCTAAGGAGTGGTGACCTAGATGTTGATGCCATGAAAGGAGATGTGACTAGATGATTGTAGAGCAATTGCTGGAGCCGGTTTGAAGTAATACAATCCGTTACACTCATGACCCGTGCCAATCAGCATCTTCGTAGTTAGGTCCTGAAATGTGCAAAAAGTGGGGAAAAATGAGACAATGCTATTGAGTGATTTTGTTAATTTGCTAACTGATAACAAATTAAACTTAAATTTAGGAATCGATAAAACAATGGAAAGTGATATACGAGGGGATAAAGTAATATCACCTGTGCTAGAGACGGGAGATTGCGACCCTATGGGAAGAGAAACATAAAGTGGACTAGTATTATCATGGCAATTATTAAGGGGGGAATTTGTAATGTGGTGTGTGGCACCACTATCCATGATTCACCACCAAAAGGAGGACCAAAAGAGGAGACAGAGCCAAAACCTGCGAAGAAGTGGGTTGGGTTTTTGAGGAGTTCTATCAATTGGGCGAATTGATCGGTGGAGAGGTCGGGGATTTCACTCACAGTTGATGGGTCAGCGGGGGCGATAGCGGACACCTGATGAATACCCGACGGCGGGGGCGCTGTTATGCTCCGTTTATTCTTGGACGGCCACCATTCCGAGTAGCCAATAATCTTAAAATATTTGTTACGTTGGTGACCCAGCTTCCCACATGCTTTACAAATTGATGTTCCAGCAGGCCAGGAACGTCGAGAATGAGCTGTCGTTTTTGGTAGCGTCGAACGAACAGGAGCAGCTAAGGCTGAGGCGTCTGGTCGAGGCAAAGGATAATTGAACCAATCGTTGGGTTTCCTCTTGATGAAGGATAGCATAGCAGCGACCAATAGAAGGGAGTGGATCTGTAGCCAAAATTTGTGATCTAAGTTGCTGAAAACTGTCGTTGAGTCCCATAAGGAATTGATACACCTTGTCGGTCTCGTGAATTTCAGCGAGGGGTTTAGAAGGCCCGCATGTACATGGATTCATTTGCTGTAAAGAGGCTAGTTCATTCCATAACTCCTTCAATTTCCATAGTATGCTGTGATGGATTGTTGTTCTAGGTGAAAATTGGCTAAATCCCTTTTCAATTGGAAGATCTTTGTATCGATGCTTTGTTGAAAACGAGTTTCTAACTCGACCCACAAATTGTTTGGTGTGGCACGATAAAGAAGGCTACTTGTGAGTGATCGATCAATTGAATGTAGAAGCCATGACATTCTCATGTTACAGCACCGGTCCCAGAGTTGTGCTACGGTGTCATCGACAGGACGTTTGATGGTGCTGAGGACAAAGCCTAATTTGTTTTTGGCATTCAAGGCACGAGTGATTGCTCGACGCCAAGCCGGGTAGTTGTCGCCGTTAAGAGGTGTGTCGACAAGAATTTGGTTTGGTTGGTCTGATGCGTGCAGATAGTATGGAGAAGAGGCATCTGTAAGGGATTTGTTCGCATCCAAGACAGGGGCAGAAACTGATTCGGCCATGGCAGATGCAAAGATATGGATTTGAAACCTAACCTTGCTCTGATACCATATTAATTTTCATATGGAATAAAGCAATTTTCATTAATAGAGCAAACATTACATTGGTGAATATATTACATTCATAATCTGCTATATATGGAAAATATTAATCTAGCATAATACGGTTTATAAGGAAATTAGAATCCCTGTAATTATGCTTAATACGGTGAATCCTTCGATATTGGATTTTTAGGGTTTTGATTACCCCTAATTCTCATTTTCTCAAAGCAGGGAGATGGATTTTTGAATTGGAATCTTACCCTCGGTTTCTGCCCATAGGGCCCAGACCCCACGGTCGCAGAGGTTTTCTTACTTGCCGTTGTTTTGTATTGAAAGAATGATGTGAAGCTTAATTTTTGTCTTGTATTGAAAAAATACTGCCAAGTAGTATATTTGAGGGCCAACGTTTAAAAACTTATGTTCCAAATAATTTCTTGAACACAATCTCCAAATTAGATTTTTTTTTTCAATAATAATAATAGAGTTGTTAGTAAGTTATATTGTAAAAAATCAAATATATTTAAATAATAATATAATTTTCATAGTTACACAAATTTGAACCTCGCCTTGAAACTTTTGAAGGGTGTCTCAACGGCAAAAGAGGTCTATGAGGTTCTAAGCCACCGGGGATGGTTAGAGCTGTTCCCTCTTTTCTCAACAGTGCATGAGATCTGCATTGGTCATCTTCCACCTTCAGCAATAGTTGAATACAGCGAGCACACTCCCAAGTTCTCCCTTGTGGGAGGTTCTGCTCAATTCTTCTGAAATTTACATTAACAAAATCTATAGCATTTATGCTTCCTTCTCGAATTATTTGTGCTGAATTTTCTTCTTCTGTACAACTAGCAACACTCAAAGCTTAGATGCAGATTGTATCTTATGCTACACATAAGCTATTGAACACATGGCACCAACAAAATTAATAGCTTTGGATTTGCAGATCTCTCTCTCTCTATCTCGTGCGTGTGTGTGAGAGAGAGCGATTTATCTTCAGGTATACTACAACTGAAATAATGCATTTGAAGTAAAGTGGCGTAGCATTCTCAACATTTGAAGTAAAGTATAAGCAAACCTAAATCTTGTTTATTCCAAAGAAAAGTGATGTAGCATTCATCCAGTAATGATCAATATCTTCAACAACAAAATGCTTATAAAATTATCAAAATAAGCTTCAGTTCAAAGCTATCTCCAAAAACGGAACACCAATATCAGCCCAGATAGTGAAACTACGTTTTGTTCTTGAGAGATTTCCTTAGCTTCCTCAACTTGTGCCTATTCATCTTCCTCTTCCTCTTCTTCTTCACACTATCAGCCCAGATAGCGTGAGAACTCCCAGCAACGGTTTCGTCATCGGGTTCAGATCGAATTGATCCTACTGAAGAAGAAACTGGGTGCAGAAAAAACCCAAAAGAAAAGCTCGGGTAGAATTGTGAAGAAATGGGAGGATCCAATCTTGAATCCGCTATTTTCCGGTGACGGTAAAGTGGGGCTTGATCAGCTAATATAGTGGTTTGAGGGATTTGAGTAAGCAAATATGGTGGCGGTAATGGAGGATGTGGGAGCAATTTTGTGGAATATAGATTCTTGCTTCTCATGAATTTCTGGAAGATTGAAGCAGCCATTTGGAACTAAAAATAAAATTGAAACTTGATTAGGGTTTCAGAAGAGCGGAGCTTATTTTACATGACTGACGCTCTATCACTGAGCTGTAGGGACTATTTGGTAATTAAAAAAAATCTATTTTTTTACCCAAACACAAACCATTTGTTAGATACTTATAGGATTTGTTTGATTCTCATTTTTATCAAAATGTATTTTTCTTTATCTTTTTTACAACAACATATTTTTTATTAAAATAATATTATCGTAAATTAAAAACTTTTTCTTTATTTTTCAACTGCACATTTTTCATCAATTTATTATTGTAAAATTCATTTTTTCATAAAAAAATGGGACTCAAACACCGTCTTAGGTCAACAAATACACAAATTTAGTAAAGAAAAAATGTTTTTTCAAGTAAAAGTTATATTTAAAATTTTAGTTGCAGAATCAATTTTTAAAAACCAATACTATTAGGGCATGTTTGATAGGCACCCAAATTCAATGGAAAATGAAATTTGTTTTCCAACTTCAACTTTTTTGTCATGTTTGATAAGTTTTTTTCCATGGAATTCTCTTTCTTGGTTGTCTCGAAAATTGGACATTTCTAAATAAAAAAATAAAATATATATATATATATATATATATATATATATATATATATATAACGTGTGCAGTACGCAGAAAACCAAGAAATGTCCAATTTTCGAGACAACCAAGAAAGAGAATTCCATGGAAAAAAACTTATCAAACATGACAAAAAAGTTGAAGTTGGAAAACAAATTTCATTTTCCATTGAATTTGGGTGCCTATCAAACATGCCCTAATAGTATTGGTTTTTAAAAATTGATTCTGCAACTAAAATTTTAAATATAACTTTTACTTGAAAAAACATTTTTTCTTTACTAAATTTGTGTATTTGTTGACCTAAGACGGTGTTTGAGTCCCATTTTTTTATGAAAAAATGAATTTTACAATAATAAATTGATGAAAAATGTGCAGTTGAAAAATAAAGAAAAAGTTTTTAATTTACGATAATATTATTTTAATAAAAAATATGTTGTTGTAAAAAAGATAAAGAAAAATACATTTTGATAAAAATGAGAATCAAACAAATCCTATAAGTATCTAACAAATGGTTTGTGTTTGGGTAAAAAAATAGATTTTTTTTAATTACCAAATAGTCCCTACAGCTCAGTGATAGAGCGTCAGTCATGTAAAATAAGCTCCGCTCTTCTGAAACCCTAATCAAGTTTCAATTTTATTTTTAGTTCCAAATGGCTGCTTCAATCTTCCAGAAATTCATGAGAAGCAAGAATCTATATTCCACAAAATTGCTCCCACATCCTCCATTACCGCCACCATATTTGCTTACTCAAATCCCTCAAACCACTATATTAGCTGATCAAGCCCCACTTTACCGTCACCGGAAAATAGCGGATTCAAGATTGGATCCTCCCATTTCTTCACAATTCTACCCGAGCTTTTCTTTTGGGTTTTTTCTGCACCCAGTTTCTTCTTCAGTAGGATCAATTCGATCTGAACCCGATGACGAAACCGTTGCTGGGAGTTCTCACGCTATCTGGGCTGATAGTGTGAAGAAGAAGAGGAAGAGGAAGATGAATAGGCACAAGTTGAGGAAGCTAAGGAAATCTCTCAAGAACAAAACGTAGTTTCACTATCTGGGCTGATATTGGTGTTCCGTTTTTGGAGATAGCTTTGAACTGAAGCTTATTTTGATAATTTTATAAGCATTTTGTTGTTGAAGATATTGATCATTACTGGATGAATGCTACATCACTTTTCTTTGGAATAAACAAGATTTAGGTTTGCTTATACTTTACTTCAAATGTTGAGAATGCTACGCCACTTTACTTCAAATGCATTATTTCAGTTGTAGTATACCTGAAGATAAATCGCTCTCTCTCACACACACGCACGAGATAGAGAGAGAGAGATCTGCAAATCCAAAGCTATTAATTTTGTTGGTGCCATGTGTTCAATAGCTTATGTGTAGCATAAGATACAATCTGCATCTAAGCTTTGAGTGTTGCTAGTTGTACAGAAGAAGAAAATTCAGCACAAATAATTCGAGAAGGAAGCATAAATGCTATAGATTTTGTTAATGTAAATTTCAGAAGAATTGAGCAGAACCTCCCACAAGGGAGAACTTGGGAGTGTGCTCGCTGTATTCAACTATTGCTGAAGGTGGAAGATGACCAATGCAGATCTCATGCACTGTTGAGAAAAGAGGGAACAGCTCTAACCATCCCCGGTGGCTTAGAACCTCATAGACCTCTTTTGCCGTTGAGACACCCTTCAAAAGTTTCAAGGCGAGGTTAGATAAATCAGGTCTACTAACTTATTGGGAAAGAATTTAACTTTCATACTATTGATTTATTGATGGAAATTGCTCTGAATTATGACTTTAAATATGCATTTTATGTTCTAGTTAACATGCTATCTACCTGTAATTTCTGGCCCTGTAACATCTCTGCTTCGAGCTCATCAAAAGACCTGTGCAGAGAAATAGAATAAGGAGTAACGATCAGTTCTGCACTAACGTTATTGCCTAGTAATTAGATCTCACGTTTAGGACACACCTTTTCCCACCATTTCTAGCAAAAGCCTCTGCACATTTCCTGTTTCTTCCCCCTACTGAAATCAGAACACATCACAAAGTTCATATATCTACCTAAAGCTGATGAAAAATTAGGAATTCGTCAAAAGGACAGTATTGCACGTTTGGTATGATCATTGAACAAGACTGGACGGCATAAGAACAAGATTTTTTAATACCATTTAGTGCTATCCAATTATCACTACCAAACATGTCATAAGGTATGAATACCCCTACTTACAGCAAGTTGTTATTAGATCTGCTATACCACAGCTCTCAAAGTAAGTAGTATCTTTGACAGAAGGGAAAAGAAGCTTGGAAAAGGCCTTCATTTCCCTCAGACCAATTCGCATAATTGCAGCCTGGTAAATCATACATAACCAACAATCAACTTATCCCCAAGTGTTGATACTATTGCAGTAAGTTGTAACTTAAAACTTCAATTGGCTTTACCTTCGTGTTATTTCCCATCTCCAACCCATCCACAAATCCTGTTCCATTAGTCAAACAATAAGCCATTACTCAATACATTACAACTTGACAAAAAGCAAAGTGATAGTACGGGCAGAACAAGTTAGCACAGACCTGCTGCAATAGCCACAACATTTTTCAGCGTTCCACATAGTTCAACCCCTTCAACATCTTGGACCTATTTTTATTTATTCAGAGTGAGAAGAAATGCCACCAATGGCTTATAAGTTGTTGGAGGTTAAGTAAAATACATATTTTCACTCACAGCTGAGACCATGAAGTATGAAGTGTTGAATAGATGAACCCATTTTTCTGCAATCTCTTTATGTTTTCTGTATCCAACAGTCGCCTCACTGAATTTCTCGACTGCAATCTGCAAAAGCAGCAGTCGACTTATTACACGATTCATTATAAAATATATTCTAAATCGAGAAATATGTTCTTATAAAACGTGTAATAAAGAAAAAGAGGATGAATAACCTCATTGGCAATATTTGCCCCCATCAGAACACAACAATTAATTCCAAGCTGTTCAGAAATGAGGGTAGAGATCATGCAAGGACCTTCCCTCTTAACTTCCATTCCTTTAATCAGAGAAATTGCTTCAGCATCTTCCCTTATCTTCCCAACAAGCTTTCTGCATATGCCTTCCATGAATTGATGTGGCGTTACAAATACCAACATGTTTGCATCCCTCACTGCCCAAATTTCTCATTATAAATTATATCACTTTTAAGATTAAATTAAAATAAATTTTTATGCTGACTTTCTTGTACAATCTTGGGAATTGCAAATACCTGCATTTTCAAGGTCAGGGTCTGCAACAACATTTTCTCCAAGCTTTATTCCTGGAAGATACTTAACATTCTCCTATGGAAGAAGATATTTATAAAAGAAAAATAGCAACAATGAATACAAGAACAAAAGACAAGAAAAATAATAACACGCGACTTTGGGAATTAAAAAAAAAAAAAAGGAAAAAAGGAAATTACATTAGTTCGATTGATGACTTCTGAGAGTTTTTCTCCCGTAGGCAGTGTCTCCTCAAACACCCACATCCTCACTTCATCTATGTATAAAAATTCAATTCAAACTTTTAAATGCTTTAATGTCAATAGACGGGCTCGAGACTCAAGAACCATAATGAACAGAGAGAATAAGAAATCATGCAAAGTTAACACCCTCGATGTGAGAATTATGTTGAGCCGATCAACCAAGGAAAAGGGAGAAAAAAAAGAAAAATTTGATTTTCTGATACCTTTCTTTTTTTCACAAAAGGGCAGTCCTCTATGATAGGAATATAGATATTTCATATAATTAAGCTTTATAAAGTCCAAAAAACCCAGACTTGCAAATTAGACGACAGCAGTAATAAAGAATAGATGCAAACCATTAAAAGAGCTTAGCTTCCGGGTATTGGAGGCAATGAGTTTAGCGGCAACACTGCCCCAATTGCCACTGCCCACAACCGTGACTTTCGATTTGATGGGCGACACTTCATTTTCAACTCTGGTGGTGGTGGTGATATTCTCCGCCTCCAACGGTGGCTGCTGAGATTCTACTGTTGGGGCCATGAAGAAGACAAACGAAGGAAGAAAAAATTGGGGCAGGTTGCAGAAGAATAATTGAGGAGTGGAGAAGAGGATTATTAGGAGTAAATGAGGAATGGAATTAAATGGGGAGGGAAATTGTGCATTTGGGCGGAGAAGCCAGACACGTATCGTCAGTATCAATGTGTGTAATGCTAAATCTGGCGATCCGCTCTATACACACAACGTTTGACAAAAACGAAGAGAGAAACACTTGTCCTTCAAAATTGTCATTTGCACTCCCACTCAATGCATTCATATTGGGGGAAAATTCATATATTCGATAGATTAAGAATGACACATTTTAAAATTAAAAAACAAAGTTTGAAACTTTGAAAATTAATTTTTTTAAAATTTTATTTATAAAATAATTAACTAAATATGCATTTTATTAATTAAATATATTAAGGTCATAATTTTATACAATTTGGTTATAAATTATTTATCGATTATAAATTATTTCATGATCACAAATAAAATTCATCGATCACAAATTTATCAAAAATTAATAGGTTATATATTATTCATTGATCACAAATCACAAATTTTACAAGTCAACTTACTTCATGATCACAAAATATCTAATTAATTAGCCACAAATATTTTTCGATCACAACTTAACAATTTTTTAGATCACACGTTATTTATTAGTCACAAATTATTTATTTCATTGATCACATATTATTTATTGATCACACATTAACCAATTTGTTGGTCACAATCAACCAAATAATGCTATTGAGGTTTGAATGGGATAATTAGGGTATGGAGTGTGTATATAAATTAATTTATAATATTATTATTAATATATAGATATTGATTTATAATTTGAATTATTATCTGGTTTTTTTTTTTGTAAATAAACATTAGATCAAATTGGATCTTACAAAATCTGGCAGGGTGTAAATTTCACTTGGGAAAAAATCACATTTCAAGTGTTATATTTACCCTAATTCAAAAATCAAATAAATAATTTGAAAATTCAAAAATCAGGTATGTATTTAATTAATTAAAAATATTTATTAAATGAAGATAATAAAGTCACAGATACATGATTAACGGTTACAGATTCATAATTATAGGTCACAGATTTATTTACTGATCACATATTGTCAAATTAATTGGTTACAGATTAGTTCATGGTCACAAATCAAAAATTTTGTAGATTACATATTATTTCGAGGTCACAGATCATTCAAATTACATGTCACATTTTATCTATAGGTCACATAAGTCACAATTTATTGGTCACAAATTATTTTTTATTCACAGACACCTAATATTTAGTCACAAATCAGTCAAACAGTTGGTCACAAACGCCTAATTGTTGGTCATGGACACGCCCACCAGTCATCGTCATCGTCATCGCCATCGCCATCACAATAACCATCACCATCATTATCAACAACTACACAATAGTTTGGCACCACAGGCTCCAAAACCACCGTCACCTCATCAACATGAGCATTACTACCTCCTGCAACCACCATCATGAGCACCACAACGCCTTAACACCATCACACCACCATCCAACTGGAACTCAAGCTCTTATTAGTTTTAGGCGTTTCAAACTCCCCATTCGAGCTAGAAATAAGGCTTTCTTTCCCTTGTGATATTATTTCGGTAGTCGATTTGAGCACCCCATCAAGGACCTATCCAACGGATTCCAGCAAATCTTGAGCAACCGACGCACCAGACTAGAGCGAAGTTGAAAGTTCCTTCACAACGCGGCTAGCAACTTCTTAGATGACCTCCGACTCCTTCCTGAGACCCAATCCGAATCACCTAAGATCCCACTTGTATGTCTCCAGCATCGACTCGAATTGGGTCACAAAAGTCTTGATCAGACCCCCAAAACTCCACCCATCGCCACCATCATTAGATGAATCAGACGGGCTTTTGGGTAGCAGGTCTGTGTGAGCCGAATCCTAACCGACATCATCCGAATCCTTATTCCTCTGCATTAGGAATTCGAATTCTGGGTGATGGGGAGTTTTCTTGTTTTGGAGGATCTGAATCCTCTGATATAATGGATTTGATGCTAAGTAGAAATGAATTGAAGGATCGAGCATTGAGTTTTCTGGTTACCAAATGAATTTATCGTAAAGAATGATTTTCAGTTCATACAAATTGCAGGAACAAGCTAGCCGACCAGGAGAAAAGAGAAGGAAGAGGATTGTGAAATTTGAAAATGGGTGAAATGATTAAGGTTTTTAATTGAATTGGATGGGTTAGTTATATAGTACCTGATTTTTGCATTAATAAATTTTACCTCTGAATTTTGAATTTGAAAGTTGTAGTATCTAATTTTCTGTAATTTCCTCATTTCACTTCATATTGTTCCCTTCTATTTCGGTTTACAAGCCCAGACTATTTAAAATTTGGTCCATCTTAGCGAACACTGACCTCAATTAGCATTTAGCGAGTTTAGTAAGATATTTAACAGTATTGAAAAAGAGACATTATAAAATCGCTCATTTCAATAAACAAATCTGGTGGGCGACTAATTATTATATAAAATATCTTTTCTGTATGTTGACCTCAATTAGAATGAAGAAGGTTAGATTTGACAATTGACAATAAATAAAAATTTGTTGATTACCATTTCCTATTGAGCGTGTAATATAACCGGTCACCAATTAATTATGCTATCGAAATTTTGTAGTACTTTGCTCTTGCATTTTCTCTTACCAAACCCCCCCTTTATATTTTTTTAACAAATGAAACCTAAAATTTATAGCGGCATTAAATGGTACCGAGCTACAAACAAATTGTAGTTTTATAGTTTACACCTCGTGGCTTTCTCAAACCAGCCAAATTATACTAGTATCACATGGCCTGCCAGGGACTCATTCGTGAGAGCTTCTATTTCAAGGAGCTCTGTCAAAGGGTTTAGTGTCATTGTAACAAACATCCCAAACAGCTTCCATAGCATCCTTCGCAGCCGCTTCTGAGCAGTATGGGTTGGCGGTGACGGATTTCAGCACTCTTCGCCTCACACAGTCCTTCAACCATTAGCATAGAAAAAGAATGTTTAGATATCAAGAAGTTACCATTCGAGTAGGCAAACAATTAGAAAAGAGTACAAAAGTAAGTTTGCAATGGTTAAAAAATAAAATAGACAAAGTTCAGCCTAATTATTCTTGAGGGTCACGCTCCAACTCCTAACTAGGGGTCGGAAATCCCATTCGAAAACATATTTTATTTTGTTGATCTCACTCTCTAGCTTCCCCACTATTATATAAGACCTAGACATAAAAACACCCGGAAAATTGCCTCTGCCTCGTGGAAAAAAGTAAAATAAAGATGAGATGGTAATATACACAAAATTCCAAGAGACAACATGTCGCTATAGTAACAAAGATTGTTGTCAGTTGTGAGCAAAGAAGAAGTGGCATTAATGCAATAGAAGTTGTATTTAAAGGTAACTCTATCCACCTAAGTTCATAAAATTCATCCTATCTTTGTGCTTCATCCCCTTAAAGATTGAGAGAGACAAATGCTAGCCCTAAATTGAGCTTCAGATATTTTCAGCACAACCCAATATTGCATGTTAATACTGCCTTCACAACCTAGACTACATGCTAATCCAAACGGCAAATGGATACTATGCATCAATGTGGGGGCAGAATTCTATTACCATAGGATCTAATGACTGACATGGACCGGTGAAACTTCTATAGAAAATCTTGGTCATGCATTTTAATTAACAGGACAAAAGTAACCTGACCTCACAAATCAATAGGTAGAAGATAAATGACAGCCTTAGTCTTCAAATAGATTGAAAGTTGCAGTGTTTTCAATTCAAAGAGATCGATAAAATCATAGAAAGAAAATTAATCCTCCGTTTGTCATCCTTCAAATTAAATTGTTTGCTACAGTAACATTATCCACCACACATTCACACAATAAAATATTCTACACCCAAACCAATAAAAAAAATTTAAAGTTTAACCATACATTTTTCAAAAAATACTATTCAAAACTCTATAATTTCTCCTATAATAGGAGACAAACATGCTCTAAATTAACAATAACAATATCACGAGTTTCTGAAACTCCTATGCATGTTTATGTGCCTGTGCATAATGGGGGAAATGTCAGTTTAAAACACATAAATAATGGAAGAGCCTTGAAGTTAACTGCAATTTGCAATGACAATTTGCTTTGTTGAATACACACAAGTCCTTCAAAATCTAATAAAACTAAGGTTTAGTTTAGTTCCCACAGAAAACTATTAACATTATTATCTACCTTCGGTTACCCTCGATAAGTATGTTTTTTTTTTTTTTTTTTTCCTATAAGTTTTTTTTTTTTTTTTTTTTTTTTTTTCCGCATTTGCAATTGCCATTGAAGAATTTCAAAAGATTCCATGTTAATGCATTTGGTTTTATAAATGTCAGATATAACAGGAATCATCACGCAAACTATGGAGAATTCTGATGTAAGAAAGCGCACTTGTTCATGACCTCGTATCTTCACAAACCCACGCAGTAATTCCCTTTTATAATGGCAATCACCGGTAAGATGGCCTGCTCGAATCTAATGTCAGAAAAAAACATTATATAATACATCAACCAGTGAGAAATGGAACTTCAATATGAAACTCATCAGCCAAAAAGAATCACATAACGAACGAAACTTGTTAACCTCACTGCAAGCATGATGAGCACAATCAGACCAGTCTAAAGTCGCAGCACGACAATCATCATATGCATGAATGAGTTCATGAATCACAACTTGGTTCACCTCATCTTGAATTTTCAAGTGATTACTGCATACTACTATCTGTAAAAAATTACAATTTTAAAAAAACGAAGAAAAGTTTGGCTACAGTTTTAAATCAAAATCTTAATTATTTAACCAAAAATCATAAATAAAATTGGAAGTGACCACTTACCACCACTATCTATAATCTAGTGAAATCCTAAAATTGATTTCACCGATAAATACATTTTGAGAAACAGAAAATCAGTGGTTAATCACATAATTACCCCTTCACCGCGAACATAGCCGCCACTGACTTTCTTATCACAATGAACTGCCTTGATGAAATTACTTCCAATATTACATCCAGATTTCTCCAGGTGCTCCTTCAGAAATTTCACCATTGGAGCTGCAATATATATTGATACACACAGATGTTTAAATATAAGGTTTAGAAAACCCTAAACCCTTTAGCTGATAGAGATCGTAAAGATTCGTGAAAAATAAAAGGAATAATACTTCTAAGGCTCCTTTGAATCATGCTATCACATTCGTCTACTGTCATACCGCCGCCGACGGCGGAGGACGCCGTCGAACGGGGCTCATTCGCCATCTGTGTTGGGTCTTTTGGTAGACCCGGGAGACAGAGAAATGGGTCACCGAATCCTGATTAGTGGATCTTGAGAAAAAGTGAAAATTACATAAAACAGGTACTTAAACTTCCATATACAAAGTTTACCCGGCCGGCC